CAGGGCCTCAGTGCACCCTACGGGTCTGAGGATCCAGTCTCCGGCTCTGTGTATCACTATATACAATGCTTAGAAGGCTTACATTTATTGACCGCTACATACCAGCTACAGAGGGAAGCCCTGTACATGCATCGACCCATTTAATTCCCCTACTAAGCAAAGTAGGTACTGTCATCTCTCATTTCACAAACAGGGAAACTGAAGCCCTGAGGGGTAGAGTCACTTGCTGAAAGATACATAGTAAGAGGGTTACCTGCGTGGCTCAGTCCATTAAGCATATGCCTTGGACTCAATTCATGACCCCAGGGTCTCTGGAAGGAGCCCCACATTGGGCTCCCTGCTCAGCAAGAAGCCTGCTTCTCCCTCTCCCCTACTTGTGCACATACGCGCACTCTCTCAAATGAATAAAATCTAAAAAAAAAAAAAAAAAAAAAAAAAAAGATACACAGTAAAAGCAGGAGGGCAAGAACACCAACCCAAGTGGTTGGCTCTAGAGGTTAACTAGTTAACCACTTTCCAAAATTGCAACTATAGATTTCTGATAGGACTTTACTCACTCAGACTGTATCAGAAGGTTCACAGGCATCTGACCAGCTCCAGGGAGATAAGTGGGGTCTCAGGGCCTTTAACTTCCCTTTACAGATCACTCAGTTTACTCTCACTGGCAGAAGCTCCATTCCTATATAGTTTTACTCAAGGAAAACTTAGGCAGAGGCTCTCTGAAGCACCAAAAAGGCACTTCCCCACATCCTTTTATAGGTGACATGTGAAATCTGTGGTCCATGGGTTTAATCGGAAGAGGTAGATTGATCTTTTTCTTCTGTAGGACAAAAAGTGTATGAGTTCAAAGTCCAGGAGAGGACAAGTGATGGCTAGCAAGTAGAAAAGGAGCCAAATGAAAAGCAGGGGAAAAAAAATTTATATTATATATATATATAATCATATATATATATGAATGAATAGTAACTTAGTCCCCAGGGAAATGCAGCTTAAAACCACAATGAAGATACCACTCTTCAACAAGCAGGTTGGCCAAAGTAAGAAGTGTAACAAGTGTTGATGAGGATATGGAGAAAATGGAACCCCCATATAGTGCTGGCAGGAGTGTGAAATGAGGCAGTTGCTTTGGAAAACAATCAGGCAGTTCCTCCAAAGGTTGCAACAGGACCCAGAAATTCCAAAAGACATGGCCACACACAAATTTGGACAAAGACGTTCGTAGCAGCATTATTCATAAACAGAAAGTGGAAGTTACCTAGATGCTTATTAATTGATGAATAAATGAAATGCAGCATATCTGTACAATAAAATATTTGCAACAAAAAGGAATGCAGTACTGACAGATACAGGCTATACATTGAAAGACCATGAAAACATTACGCTAAGAAGCCAGTCACAAAAAACACGTATTACGTTATTCCACTTACAGATCTTCAACTTACAATGGCGTTACATCCCAATAAACCCGTCATAAGTTGAAGATGCATTTAATACACCTAACCTATGATCACAGCTCAGACTAGGCTACCTTAAACATGTTCAGAACACAGTCTACAGTTGGGCAAAATCCTCTAACACGAAGCCTATAATAACGTGTTGAAGATACCATGTAATTTATTGAATGCTGCACTGAAAGTAAAACAAACAAAACAAAAAAACCCAGGATGGTTATATGAATACAGAATGGTTGTAAATGTACCAGTTGTTTATCCTCCTGACTGAGTGGCTGAGAGCTTTAGCTGGCTGCTGGCTCAAGCTGCATACTGCTAGCCCAGGAAAAGATCAAAAAATCAAAATTCGGAGTACAGTTTCTACTTTATGTATATCACCTTTACACCATCGTAAAGTCAAACCATGACAACTCTAACTCGGGGACTGTCTGTAAATGAAATGTCCAGAATAGGACAATATGCAGAAAGTGTATTAGTCATTGCCTAGGGCTAGGGGGTTGGGGAGGAATGAGGAGGAACTGCTAATGCAGAGGGTTTCTTTTTGGAATTGGCGGTGAGGGTTGTGCAAGTCTCAGTATAGTAAGAGCCCTTAGATTGCAGACTTTAAATGTGTGAATTGTAAATTTGTAAATGTGAGTTCTCTCTCCCTAAAGCAGTCCTGTTTTTTAAAAGATCTTTAAAAACCGGTTACCAAGTAAAACTACTAGTGTATTCCAGGAGAATCTGTGTCTTTGTGAATGAGAAACCATAATCGCAGAAGTGGCAGAAACCCAAAGTAATTTCAGCAGGGGGGAAAAAAATTAAAGAGTCTGTATGAAAGGGGGAAGAGGAACCAATTTCCATTTAACTGAATTTCAAGGTAGTAGGTGTTTAGGGGTCATATCACCCCAAATGCATAGATCTTACACTATGGGTTGCATAACTAAATTCTGACCTTCTCACCTAAAAGCTATCAGTTCCAAAAATAAAGGATTTAGAAGAGAGGTGAGATTTAAAAACAAACAAGAAAAACAGGCAAAGGCTGATATTAGCTTTTCGGAGACTCTAAAAAAGTTTGCAAATATAAGGATCCTCTGTCATACTCTACCCCATGTTCACAAAATAAGGATAGTGATTTCCATACAAAATGTACACCATTTCCTAAGATGAATTTAGAAACAGGACTTAAATGTAACTAGAAAAAGTAGAGCCTTCAAGTTCTGGAGCTGAGGGTAAGACATGAACAGCGAGATCAGTGCTGGGATCTCAGTGTTTGAAATTCAGGAGAAATATTTAAAAGTAAAGGGTCTGCCAAGCTACCCAGTCATGTATCTCCTTAATAATGAGACTTTAGCAGAAATCAATGCAATCTCTGACCAAAGTGAATACAGAGTCCTAATGTGGCAATAGGTCATATGATAATATGGAAGTTTCATGGCCATTAGCAGATGCGGCGTTAACACATTTTTGGAAACAGAATAAGAATTTCCTTTACATTTTTAGCCTTGAACTTTCAAAACTACAACCAAACCCTTTACTCCCACTCTGTTTTAAGCATCATTTGTATGGAAAAAATCAGCCTACTGCTTTCTTTAAGAACAGGCAAGCCATTAATTGATTCAATGTGTTGGCAGCTCTGGAGAACCTTTTTAGACAGGAATAAATGATGCCTCTTTCTGTTCGAAGAAGCCACGTTTAACATTTCATGCATATGCACACAGAAACATTTAAGGAATCCTGCAAATTAGCTAACAATCCTCTTGGAATTTAGCGAACAAAAAAAAAAAAAAAAAAAAAAAAAAAAAAGGAGCAAACCTCCTTCACAACCCCTCAAATCAGAGTTTAGATACTAAATGTTTAAAGATACTTTACGTGACCTAAAGTGCTCTTCCATACTCCTCCAAATCCTTGAATATCATCAAGTTTAAGTAATTCTCCTAGGACTCAATGTTGAAGTACCATCTTTTCCCCTACAAAACTGTTGAGCTCAAGAAAAAAACATCAAGTGCCTCTAAATGCTGTATCATAGCTTTTCTAAGTGAACTGCCTATCCTCTTCATTAATTAAGGAACTGCACTTTTCTGACCTATGTGTTAAAAGTATTGAACTTTCCCTATTTTACCTATGTTAAGGTTGACAACTTCTTTGTTGAAGACAGCTGGTGTTGACTACAGGTGATGCGGCTCTCAAAAGGAAAACTTGTCCCCAAGAAAGCACCCCCCCGCAACAATACAGCCAAAGCTTGGTGTTCCATTTCACCAGCAGCACTGTTTTTAAAAAGCACTAGCTTTTAAAGAAAATGACATCTTTGAACAGGCAACTCCAGTCAGAAAATGCATCTGTCATTTCTATTCCCCCACCCCCCTTAATGGATGCCACAGCCTCAACCCAGGAACCCCTCTGGGGAAGGAGGGCCCAACTGAAGGAAGCCAGTCTGCTAAAAGTAGCTAGTTATGCTGACAAGCCTGGAGAAGACTCCCCCCCCCCGCCTGCCCCCCGCCGTAAATAATAATACCCCCCGCCCCGGCCCCGCCCGCCGCGCCCGCGCCCAGC